AACCTGTTGGGTCGTGTTGTAGCCTTCTCGGGGCCATGTGGGAGCCGTCCTCAGGCTCTCTTGTCCATCTTGGGAGTTGCGCGGGGGCCTCAGGGACCTCAGCGGCGTCCAGAAGAATGCGAGCGGCTAGCCGGGGAAGCCCTGGGGGCCGTCGGAAAGGTGCCCCGGGCCGGGGGGGGGGGCCGTCCGAAAGAGGTCTTGGGATTCTCGGGGGCGGTCGGGTGGGTGCATCCAGGGGGGGGGGGAGTTGTGCATGCAATGCAGGATGCATGATTTTCGAAGAACAATGATATATTCCCTTTCCATTTTTTATAATCCGCGGGGGTGGGAAAACTCCCCCCCCCAGGCTGGACCTTCCGGAAACCCTGGCTTCAGTGGGTTCCTGGACGCCCCTGCCGATGGCCCCATGAGACCTCCGGGCTTCTGGGGGTCCCTGCCAAGTCGTGCAAACGAGCCGGCGGTAGCCCCAAGAGGGTCCAACATGGCTTCCTGATGGCCCAAGAGGCCTTCCAAACGTCCCAAAGAGCTCTCAGAGGAACCCCCAAGTGGGCCTCCAAATCCAAAAGCTGTGCGTTTCCTGGGGAGGTTTTTACATTATTTTGGCATTAAGGTTCTTTCGTGCTACGACGCCCCAGGAAGGCCCCAAAGGCCCCACACATCGCCCCAGGACAACCCATGACGGCCCGAAAAGGCTCCAAGACGGGCGAAGATGTCCCCACGATCCCCGAAGAAGGCCCCAAGACGGACCTTCAGACCGCCACCAGGCGCGAGCCCACTGGCCCTAAAAGACCCACGAAACTGCCAACAGGCGCCCAAACGCCCCAACCAGGGTTCACGAGGTCACCAATCAGACCGAAAAAAACCAAAAGGGGTTCCAAGTTATCTTCAAAACCAGCAACATTGTTTCCGCGACGACCCCGAGACGCCTCCCCACGACCCCGCATTGGCACCCTCGTTCAGCATTTCCACCACATTTGTCCGAACCCCAGTTTCGCGACGTTCCCTCCAGGCACGTGGGTAGGAGGAGGAGGAGGCGGAGGAGGAGGAGGAAGAGGATGGGGATTCTGATGATGACGATGATGACGATGATGATGATGATGATGATGATGAAGATGATGATGATGATGATGATGGTGATGGTGGTGATGGTGAGGATGATGATGATGATGATGATGATGATGATGATGATGATGATGATGATGATGATGATGATGATGATGATGAGGTGGTGGTGGTGGGGCTTGCGCCGTGGATAAGGTGAGGCCTCGAGGAGGATGAGGAGGATGAGGAGCATGAGGAGGAGGAGGAGGAGAAGGAGGAGGAGGGGGAGGAGGGAGCAGGAGGAGGAGGAGGAGGAGGAGGGGGAGGGAGTAGGAGGATCGGGCAATGCCAAGGGGGATCACCACTAGGGGCGGTCACCACTTCCTTCGTGGACCTCAGAACGAAGAAGGGGGAGAGGACACATTAGGGAAGGATAGCGAATGGCATGATTATGAGGACGAATCGGACAAGACAACGAGGAATTATCGCCATGTTGTATGCTTTACCTTCCTGCCCTTCCGCCGCGACTTCTGCCTGCATGCCAAACTTGAAGGACCAAGGTGCGTTGCGCGAAGCGCCAACGCAGTCTTGTATGTGTGTAAATATATATACACATACACCTGTACGACGACCGGGTGGTAAGGAGGTTGTAGGGGGGGTCAGCTTTTGGTGTGCGTGTGGGGTCGGATCGGATTCGGCCGAAATCAGCTCGGTACCACGGATCACCACCGATGGTGTCTCGATGACGTCCTTGATAACCATCGGAAATCATTGGGTCAACCAGGGAATGAGGTGGCATGTGTTTACGCGCGCCCTCTTTCTTTTAGGGCGCACTACGAATATACAGGGCAATATGCCTGTCAATCCATTTCTCGATCGAAGCATCCAGCGGGAATCATCGGGGCAACAAACCGAACTGGGTGACATGTATGTGCCCGCGCCCTCTTTACAGCCTCTTTACTGTAGGACGTACTCAGAACGTACAGAGCAATAGGTTTGCCCATCGATCTATTGCTCGGGACATCCATCAGTAAGGATCGGGGCAACCAGCGGAACCAGGTGGCGTGTATGTACCCCCGCGCGCTCGTTCCTTCAGAAGAGCAGCTTCAGACTGTACCAGGCTTCGGGACACGGCGAGACATCAAGGGACACCACGGGACACCACTACCGATTTCACTATCGATCTCATTATCTATCGATCGCGCACTCGATCACACGATCGATCTCACTATCGATCTCTCTCTACATGTCGATCTTCATATCGATCTCACGATGGAGATCACCATCGATCTAACTCTCGATTTGTGTATCGACCTCGCATTCGACCCCACGACCGATCTGACTACCGATCTCGCACTTGAACTCACTACGAGACACCAGAGAATCGGGGGAACCAGCGGATCAAGGTGTCATTTATTCGGGCGCGCGCTTTTCCCTTTAGGAAACATACGAAGAACATGGAAGGCCACGGGACACCACGACTCCGCAGGACACCACTATCGATCCCACTATCGATCTCATGATCTATCGATCTCACCCCCTCGCCTCCGACATTTCGGCATCATCATCGGACTCGCAGTCGACCCCACTATCTACTTATCAGTCCGTCCACCAATCGATTTCACTATCGGGATGCCACCCTGTGTAGCGCCAGATGGAAACCTTGACGGCTGTACGATGATGGTGTTGTCGATACGGGTGGTGATTATGATGCTGATGATGATGATACTGATGATGATGTTGATGATGATGATGATGGTGATGATGATGCTGCTGATGATGGTCGTGTTAATGATGGTTGTGATGCTACTGCTAATGTTGGTTTTAAGGTCTATGGTCATGATGGTCGATTTCACGGTACCGCAGTCGATATTGTCAACGTGCCTTGCTCTGAACCACCACTTGCCTACGGTCTCGGAGCGGCAGCAGCAAGGCCATTCACAGAGAACCGTGGGCGCTGGGGCCAGGAGTGCGGTGGCAGAGCCTGGAGTTACCACTCGACTGTACTAGCTGCTTTGCTACCTATCGATCTCACGATCGACGATTCCCTTCTACCGATTGCACTCACGACCTATCGATCTTACAGTGGACCTCGCTATCGATCTCACTATCGATTTGTCAATCGATCTCACTATCGATCTCACTATCGACCTCACTATCAATCCCACTGTAGACCTCATGGGACACCACGGGACAACCCGGGACACCGAGCCACGGGACACCACGGGACACCACGGGGCACCGCTGGGACACTCCCGAGCCACCACCGGCCAGCAGGGTAGAATCATTAAACTCAGTTTCGCCTTAGCCACGGCCAACTTATTCCTCTCACCCGCCCACGCAGCTTCGCCTCACCCGCACGTGCGATA